CAGAGATCTCACAGGTGGAAATAAGACCATCGGTAAAGCTCATGACACCGAAAGAGATTGGTATTCCATCTGGTATCACAGCGTTACTACTATGGGCCTATGTGTGAGGAGGATACTGCGCCTTAGTGGTTTCAACTTAAATCAAAAATTTTGACTTTACAGACTAATTTTGTTTTTAAACGCTCTTTTGCATTGGCCAACGCAAAAGCTCTTATTAGGCGCCGCGAAGTAAGCGGGCATTGGCTAGTGATTAATAAAGCCCTTAGACAGACATTGTAGAAAGTTGGGCTATACCTTAAAGATGACTGTTTTACTCACGGCCCACTGTACGTAGCTATGAGTTGAGTAAGGTCCTTCAATAACTTAAAAATTAAGTTGGGTTCTCAGGTCTCTAGCAATACAAGGTTAAAGGCTCTCTTCCACGGAGTTCTTTAAATAAATTTTGAGCTAAATACATACATAAGTATATTCCTAAATGTCACGTTTAATTTTTTACTTAAGTTTAAAAACTTTATATTAGTAAGTATTTCTTTGCTGTGCTCACCCCAATTCCGGGGGTTATTAAATGAATTGCTTAATTTTTTCAACGCAATGTTAATGCACGGGGCCGCGATGCTGGTAACGGAGGAAGAGGAAGGCCTCCTCTGCGTTGGAAAGACCAGGTGGAGAAGGACTTGGCTTCACTTGGCATTTCCAATTGGCGTCAGTTAGCACAGAATAGAAATGACTGGCGTGCTGTTTTGGAGTCGGCCAAAATCGCTTAGGCGGTTACAGCGCCAATAAAGAAGAAGAAGAATGTTAATGCATAGGGACGAAGGAAACATTTATTTACCAATTAACCAAAATTGATTTTATAAATATTTTATTTTCGTCCCACCCCAAAATATTTTTTTTTTCTTATCGAAACATTTTGGGCCAACATTTTCGCCAAACATTCACGTTCACATCTGATTATTCCATTGATGTCTTAAATAATTTAACCAAAACGTTGTGTGCGTGATGAAGTTCTTGCAATTTCGCAATAATCTGGCGTTTCATAGCACGTTTACGGCAAGACGGAAAAGGTATGCCATAATGATCGCCAAGGAAACAATTTTGTACTTTATTTTTTTCTCGTGGAAATCGCTGTGGATTTTATACATTTAGTTTTAAACGTAATGAAATTTGATGGTTCTGCATGAAAACTCGAATTTTAACGAAAGAAAATAAAATTTGAACCAGCTGATGGGCAACGCGCGAAAAAAGATGGGAGTTGGTCATCTTTTTGCTTCGCGCTGAAGCAAAAACGATCTATGTGGCATGCTTCGTACATTTTCATACATTTCATCTTATCTCTCAAAACGAATCTATCACGAAAAGCCAAAGGTTTTATGTACAGTCATTCGTTACAACCAAGAATATTATTGTTTTATTTAGAGTATTCAGGATATATATTTAATTGTGGATATAATTTTGCAAAACTCAAAGAAAAGTCTCATGCAATTCACCGAGATATAGATAAAATATCTTTTAATACTGAGTCAACATTAACATCCAGATTGCGATGAATATTGAGAAAAACTAGCCTATTGTGTGCTCATTCTCTGCCCATGCCTATACATTAGACTGCCCATTAGTTGTATGGAGACAATTTTTTGCTAAGCTACAAATCAAGACTCCCCCTAGAAAGTTTCCTTTGTTCATAATAACGTGCGAAAAATGTTTAAAATCGGACAACGGAAATACGTGCCAATTTTTCAAAAAGTATTCAAAATTGCCTTTAATTCAGTGAGAAATTTAATATATTTTAGTACTTTTTACTTTTAAAGTTATTAAAATTTAGCCAAGTAAATTTAGATCAAATTGGTACGAAGAAAACAAAATTTAGTAGCGAACTTTTGATGCAGTTTACTTCTATTTGACTTGTAGATCATGGATCCACAGTCTCGTCCCTAAGTTTCATACCGGAACATTCCGCCATCTGGGATTCTAGGTTGTTTTGGGTTTTTGCGATAAGCAAGCTTATTTTGCATTTTTCGTTAAAAACGGCTGTACACAAATTTGTAGAGAATTTAATTTCCCACATTTTTTTATACAAATTTAAAAAAAATAATTTTTTATTGTAAATAATTAGCAAAAATTGCCAAAAACCTTTTGAATTGTCACGGTTTTCACAATTTCTGATAAAAATGCGTAGCATATTCAAATGCCAAAGTTGTAGGGAACTTTTCTCTTTTAGTGTTGAGTTCTCCGGTGGCACAAAATTTGTAAAGCAAACCCTAATTTACGGTTAGTTTAGATGCCATATTGAGACGCCGTGTTGAATTTTTCAAGAGGCCGCACGGCTTTTTCCCACAAAAACTCAGTAACTTTAAAAGATGGGGAGGTTTAAAATATTGAAAAAGATGCCTAATTTTTTCGAATTCCGACCCTTCGGTTCGGCTTGGGTTTGTACAGAAATAATTATTTACTTCGATGCCGAAAACTCTACAAGTTGCAGTACGAATCCGGATGAACGTAGAAGTAAAAAACCGCGAGCTTACGCTTTACAAGAAGAAGTGAAGTCAACAATTTATTTGAAGTATCGTTTTCACAAAGCTATTGACAATTTAAGAATAGAAGGAATTGGAAAATGAGTGAAAATGAGAGTATGAGAGAATCTCATTATTGAGTACTTATACTAACATGACAGTTCTTAACTTATACTACAGTGTGTTACAAAATTATTTTGCAAGAAATAAAAGTGAATGTTGTTATCACATTTGGTTCTAGGCCAAACATACTGCCACCATTGAAACTCCTAGTTTCAATCAATCGGTAGCAATGCCAACTTTGCTAGGGGGCGCCGCAGGATTGTTGACGCTGTTTTAACATCTGCTACTCGTACATGTACATCTTTACCAGCAATAACGTTTGCGACACGTCCCATCAGCCATTTCATAGGAGGTTGATTATCATCGTGAATGAGGACTAGGTCATTAATTTGCAAGTCTCGCTGTGTTTTCTGCCAGCGTGGACGATTTTGCAATTCGGTGATGCCATCTGTGCCAGAAGTGTGCCTTTGTTGCAGAAATTCTTTGCCATCGCTGAAGATTCGAAATATCCTCAACCAACTTCGTAGGTTCTGGAATGCCTTTTATAGAACTTCCAATTAAAAAATGCCCCGGTGTTAGGGCCTCCAAGTCGTTGGGATTTGATGACAGTGCACCAAGTGGTCGAGAATTCATAACCGCTTCGATTTCAGCCAGTGAAGTGCTCAACTCCTCGAACGTTAACCGTGCAGTCGTCAGAGTTCGATACATATGCGCCTTTGCCGACTTAACGGCAGCCTCCCAGAGTCCTCCGAAATGTGGTGCTCTGGGGGGAATAAATGAAAAATCAATAAAATTAGACGAGCAAAAATCAGTAATTTTCTTAACATTGGTGGAGCTCTGAAAAGCTTTAGCAAACTCCTTTAGCTTGGCATCGGCGCCAACAAAATTTGTTGCATTGTCACTATAAATCTTTGACGGCAAGCCTCGTCGACTCACGAAACGTTTGAGTGCAGCGATGAATGCGTCACTAGTGAGATCAGTCACCGCTTCAAGGTGGACCGCTTTGGTGGAAAAGCACACAAATACGGCGATATAGGACTTAAATGGCGTTCTCCCTCTTAGTTTGAGGTAAGTAAGAATCGGGCCTGCAAAGTCCACGCCTGTTATCGTAAACGGTCGAGTACTTGTCACCCTGTGTTTTGGTAAATCACCCATAACTTGAGTGAGGAGCTTAGGTTTATAGCGTGTGCAGTGAATGCAGTTGTGTACCACCATACGTACTAGTGCGCGACAGTTCACTATCCAAAATTTTTGCTGAATTATTGCTACCAGTGCTCGTGCTCCTGCATGATAGTTAACGCGATGAAAATATGTTATCATGCATTTTACAAATAAATCATTTTTCGGTAACAGTATTGGCCACTTAGCCGAGTCCGGAATGTCTGCATGTCTCAACCGACCACCAACTCGCATTAGTTGGAAATCGCCCTCATCTTGCAAAAAAGGGTTTAGTGAGGCGAACACCCCCTTAACTTCATTCTGTTTCCTCAAGGTGGCGATTTCGTTTGCAAAGTAATGCTGTTGAATAATCCAAGCAACTCGTTTAAGAGCTTCTTCTAGTCGCTGTGTAAGGCATTCGTCGTAGATGGCGATTCATTGTCCTAAAGCGCAGCATAATTGCAACGACACGAAGACCCTTTATGTAACTGCTTATTTGATGAAGTCTTTGAAGCAGATATGGTATTTCGGTAACCTCACAGGTACATGCAAGCTTGCGTTTTTCCAAGTCATGATCTTTGTCGGATAAGTAGCCACTAAATGTTGATGGCCACGTTGATGAATCATGGAGAAGAAATGGAGGTCCGTGAAGCCAATTTGATTCCACAAGTTCGTTGACCGAAAATCCGCGTGAAATGTGATCTGAAGGATTTTCCTCTGTAGGGATATGTCTCCAAATTACGTCCTTTGTTAATTGTTGAACATCAGATACTCGATTACCAACAAACGTTGACAGTGTTGATGATTGCGATTGTATCCAGTGCAATGTTATTTGCGAATCGGACCAAAAATACCTTTGGGAAATTTGCCAGTTAAGATGCTCTTCGATTTTGTTCCAGAACTTAACGAGTAAATGTGCGGCGCATAACTCCAAACGAGGAAGTGTGCGAACCTTTAATGGAGCAACGCGTGATTTGGACGCTAACAGGTTTACTGTGACATTGCCTACTTCATCCTTGCAGCGAACATACAAACAGCATCCATACGCCTTTGTCGAGGCATCTCCAAAGCCATGAACTTGTATGTCGACAGCATTTCCAAGGCCAACATATCTCGGAATACGTATGAGGTGCAACTGCTGTAAATCTTGGCGAATAGCTTCCCAAGCACTTGCAATTGTTTGTGGCACAGATTCGTCCCAGTCACATTGAAGAACCCATAACCTTTGCAGCAAGATTTTCGCCTTAATGATAACAGGACTTATAAGTCCCAGTGGGTCAAAGAGTGACGATGTTGTTGACAAGATTGATCGCTTCGTGATGCTAGTTGTCTGATTTTTTGGATGATACGCGAATCCGAAAACGTCGTCACTGGTATACCAAGATATTCCAAGTGCACTTGTTGTGGTATTGTCGTCCAAACAGACGTTCTTGATATCCGTTGCTGATTCCATTAGCGATGGGTGATTACAGAACCATTTAGTGAGTGAAAGCTGAGCAGAATTCAAAACTTCGCAGACTTCCCTCTTAATCATTAGCAGGGATTGCAGATCATCTGCTCCTGTTAACATATCGTCAAAGTAGAAGTCAGTTTTGATGATTTTCTTTCCGAGATCATTCCCATATGGACAGGTCCCTGCTGCGAATTGTAAACTACGAATTGCAAGATAAGGCGCCGCTGCAGTACCATATGTAACGGTGTTGAGGCTATATGTAGAAATTGGTTGCGTTTTGTCATAACGCCAGAGAATCAAGTGGTACTTACGATCATCGGGATGTAGTAAAAATTGCCGATACATTTTTGTAATATCAGCTGTAAGACCATATTTGTGGCACCGGAATCGTAAAAGAGTAATTAACAATTCATTTTGAAGTTGCGGGCCCACCATGAGTAGTTCATTGAGTGAGACCTGGGAAGCCGTACGACACGATGCGTCGAAGACAACTCTCAGTTTAGTTGTCGTACTTCCCGGCTTTACCACGCAGTGGTGGAGTACAAAATAGTGTGGTGAATCTAGTTCCACATTTTTGATTAACGACATATGGCCCAGTTCTTCGTACTCCTTCAAAAATTTTGTATATTCGCTCTTTAATGTTGGATTTTTCTCGAGTTTATTTTCCATTACTAAAAAGCGTCGCATAGCTATATCTCGCGAATTACCAAGACTGCGGACATCACCCTTGAACGGCAGTTTTACCATGAGTCGACCATTGGATTTGGTTACCGTTTTCAAAAAATGAGTCTCGCACTGGTATTCTTCTGATGTCAAATGTTGCCTCTTTGAATTGACTTCTTCAAGCTGCCATAATTTTTCAACGTTACGGTTTATATTATCTATTGTAGAAATAGCTGCACAATGGGATGGATTGTTAATTGGTTGTCGTGGAGCAGAGCATTTTCCGGATAAGATCCAGCCAAATAAAGTTTTTTGCAGAGTAGGCAAGTTATCGCCAAGACGGATTTGCCCAACGGATAAAAGTGAAAAAAAAGGCTTCTGCTCCAAGCAACATATCGACTCCACGTGCGCGGTGAAATTCAGGGTCCGCGAGATTAATATTTCTAGGAATCATTAGATCTGCTGATGCTACAGTTTCACTAGGATGATAGCCAGAGATTTGTGGGGATATTAGGAATTCTAGCGACGTTTCAAAATTATTAATGCGAGAGCGAATGGTAGTTTGCGTTTTAAATGCTATTTTTAGTGGGGATGAGCCAATCCCGCAGACGTCGATATAATTACGAGACTTACGAAGATTTAAACCTGAACAAAGCGCCTGCGTCATAAAGTTCACCTGCGAACACGAGTCCAAGAGAACTCTACAAATCTTGAACTCTCCACAAGCGTCTCTAGCTAAAATCAAGGCGGTAGCAAGTATAACTTGCCCTCCTTGCGCTGAGGCTCCAAGTTGGGTTTCGACACTGGTTGTATGAACTGATGCTGACTCATTTGTCGTAAAGCTGTTGTTTGGCGGAGTAGAGGGTGAGGAAATAGTTTCGGAGGTATTGTGTAGCAACGAATGATGCCTTTTTTTACAAAATCGACATGAATATTTTGATGGGCATTGCGAACATCCATGACCTTTAGCTAAACAATTAAGGCAAAGATTTAAGTTTTTCACTTGTTATGAACGCTGAGTCACCGGAAGAACTACGAAGGCTTGACACGTTGATATATTGTGACCTGATTTAGAGCAAAATGCGCACAACATATCCCTTTGAGAACTGCGTTTCGCTAGCAACGTATGATTGATTTTCGCGTTGTTAGTATAGGTCCTTTGATGTGATGACTGAGCTGCAGCTGGCCCTGACCCGCCTTTCAAGTTCGCATTTGTTTGTTGACAACGTTTGTCCAGCATTGCGCAGCAGTCAACCCATTTTGGTAATGATACGTAGTCGATGTGTTCATCCCATTTTCTTCTTGTATCCGAGTCAACTTTATTCAACGCAACTTGTATAATGAACGCATCACAAATTTGTTCATAAGAACCTAGAGACTGTAAGGAGCTGTAAAGAGCAGAGACGGTGTCGACTATGTGTCGCAACTGCCCCGGTACATTCTTAGTTGTCTTGGGAATATCAAAAAGTGCTGATATATTATCTAAAAAAATTAAAGTGTTGTTATCGTACCGGTCTTTGAGACGTTGAAGAGCCTTGGCGTAATTTTCATTTGTGACTTGGAAAGCCTTTACCGTGGATAACGCTTCTCCACTTAAACAAGTCAGCAAGTGGTTGAACTTCTCAATGGCTGGTATATTAGGATCATTATCCACGAGACTATTAAAACAATTTATAAAGGTTTTATACTCAATGTATTTGCCATCAAACTTTGGTAAACGCAAGTTTGGTAACCGATTTGTTGTTGTTTGTGGAAAACATAGAGTTTGTTCATAAAAACTTTGTCTTCTACGCCCGTCCATTGCAGCTGATATTTTGCATTTTGCATTTACATAAAGCTCATCAATATCTGACCGACCATTATCAGCTGGGGACAGTCTCTCAATTTGAGTTTGGTAGTACGAGGCTTGTTTGTAATACGAATCAATTATACCAAGGCGACACTCAAGCTCTGTTACGGAAAGATTATTGTTTCCTTCAATTAAGTTTCTAATGCGGGTAATACTACCCTTGGTAGACGCTCGAAGTTGTTTTAACTCTTCAAGTGACGGTTGATTTTCTGTCATTTTTGCGAAGCGAAAATGGTCTGTATACGGTATGAAGATGGCAGCAGCGACGTACGAATGTAAATTTGAGACAAACTGAGCTAGCACAACAATGACCGTTTTCGAAGCTAAAATACTTTCTCTTAAGTACTATGAAGTCTACGGCGATGCGAAGAGACTCAAGCAGAAAAAATTACCGCAACAATGATGTCACAACGATAGGACAATAACAGGTGACAGCGTTGCCTAGCGTGTATGAAACAATTTCTCTCTTTGTGTAACGAAATTGTAGAGCATTGGATTATGAACAGTTATAATACTTATGCTAAGAGCGCCAATGTTCGGTATGCGTTGGCGTAGCTTAAAGGGAATATATGTACATATACGTACAATGCGCACACCTCATATAGATATATAGCAGCGGTTGTAGCGGATTTTTAGCTATACATATATAAATGCAACGATAACGGATCCTTATATATGCAATTTACCTTGGCACACTTTCTGTCAATTATAGATCTTTATAACTGGAATATGTCTGTAAATTGACCCAAAACTTCTTGGCTGATGATTGAGGAAGATAAACGTTACAACCTTTGCACCCCTACTACCCATGCGAGGTATGAACTCCTTGGATGATGACGTGAAACCGTAGTTAGGCACACATAGGACAACTTATGCGAAGTGTCAAAATCCTTGCAAGCTGATCCACCTAGATGAACTTATGACGATGCGAAAACGTGGTTAGGCACACATGGGACAACTTATGCGAAGTTTCAAATCCTTGCGAGCTGATCCACCTAGATGAACGTATGATGATGTGACAATGAAGTTTTGCGCAGGACAACTTATGCGAAGTCTCCTGGCAGGATCGCCAATGAAAAAGATGCCTAATTTGACACCTTGGAACTCGTTAAAAAATGGATTTTTTGCGAATTCCGACCCTTCGGTTCGGCTTGGGTTTGTACAGAAATAATTATTTACTTCGATGCCGAAAACTCTACAAGTTGCAGTACGAATCCGGATGAACGTAGAAGTAAAAAACCGCGAGCTTACGCTTTACAAGAAGAAGTGAAGTCAACAATTTATTTGAAGTATCGTTTTCTCAAAGCTATTGACAATTTAAGAATAGAAGGAATTGGAAAATGAGTGAAAATGAGAGTATGAGAGAATCTCATTATTGAGTACTTATACTAATATGACAGTTCTTAACTTATACTACAGTGTGTTACAAAATTATTTTGTAAGAAATAAAAGTGAATGTGTGTTCTAGACCAAACAAATATTATAGCTATTTTGACATCGGGGGACAAAACTCCATCAAGTGCCATTAAAATATATTAAATTTCGCACTGACTTATAGGCAAAATATTGATCGCTTTGTGAAAAACTCCATGAATTTGTTGAACTTTAGATACTTTGAGGCACGTCTTTCCGTTATCTGATTTTAAAAAATTTTCGCAGATCACGTTTTTATGACCTAATGAACCTTTCTGCGGGGAGTCTTGCATTGTAGGACAAAGTTGCAATATAATGCGCAGTCTACTGTGCATGCATGATGTTATTCATTGAATTATTTTGCAAACTTATAACTAATAGGAAAAAAACGGAAATCTGAATTTTTGTTAATTTTTTTAGTGTTTAACATAGCCCAACAAAAATATAAAAAAATTTTGATATGGCAAATGTTAAAGCTGTTTTTGATAGATTTTTTTTTGTGCTCAATACGAATCCGTAAGCATAAAGTTTCCATCAGCTGCAGATTTAAAAAAACGAGGTCAAAGGGTCAAAAAGTCGCGGTTTTACCAATATTTTAGAAGCTGTAGCAAAGAAACAAAAGGTGATAAAACCTTCCTGGCTTAAATTAAAGCTAGATCTCTCGACTTCTATCTCTGAAAAGAGATCTTAAAAATTTTAGATTTTAAAATATTTTTTACCATTATTATCTTAAACTAAATGATGGGAAATTTATATGCATATTTCCCTCCACAAGGGTGGTTTAAACACCCAAACCTAACCATAACCGCAAAAGATATGTACGCGCCAAATATTTCCATCTTGTATTTTTGGTCAAAATTCCATCATATATTTTTCTAATCCGGTAACTGTGAATGGAACTGCTATGAATTTGCCACTGCCTCTAACCTAGAGATGGTCACGGGAGTGATTTTTTTTTACAAATCTCCGATATACGTATATATGTATGTGTTACGAGTATAAAAAAGAATTCAATATTCATTCAATGTGATTATAAAATATTTTTGTTTAAAAATAATATTTTGTCGAAGTTTTCAACAAGCAGTCGTGTAATAGGCGGCATACACGGTGCGTCTGATTCGCGAGTCGGTTTGGATGTGTTTGTGAAAATAAATATGTGTTAGTTACACCGACATGACTCTGAAGCGAATCA